AGCGTACATGTCATTTCGCGATATCAAATCATTTGGGTTTTTTACACACATTTGAAGTTTTTATGCACATTTGAACAGGTTATTTAGGCCACGGTGCAAGATGAATTTATAATTGTTTGAAAATCATGTATTTTCATACAAAATTAGTCGCTAAATGAGAAAATGATAAAATTAAAGCGGAAATAAAGGTAAATTGAAAATACCATATGTATTTTTAATTGAAAATTACTCAAAATTTTCGACCTTTCTACAAAAACGGTCATAACGCATTTCTCTTGAAGTTAGCTACGTATAACGCCGCGATCCGATTCAGACTTACAACGCTTACGAATTATTTCATCTTTGTTGTTTATAAAATGTTAAATAAACGCTCATAAGCGTTATGAGTTATGAGCATTTTCAGATGACGGCCTAAATGGCGATTTTCGATTAAAAATGTATTTTTTCACCATTTTGCTCTACTCCAATCGCTTTAATTTGATTGTTTTCTCATTCAGCGATCAAATTTACATGGAAATACATAATTTTCAGACAATCGCAAAATTTCATCTTGCGCCGCAGACGAAGTGACCTCCTCTAAACTTCGAACGTGCACAAAAACCGCGAACGATTTGATATCGCCAAATTAAACACTGGTACTATATTTCATCTCTACTTTCACAGAAAATTTGAGCTTTTCATGTGTGAAAAATGCTGTCGCACGGTGTCTATCTCATACTTTTCATCTTTTTTTGTATTAGTCTATTACTATTTCAATTTTTTATTTTCTTTGCAAATTTATAAATTGGCTTTATTTTAAATTAGGATAAGGATTTCTCGTTTCTGTTGTAAGTTATGCCAAAAAATTAGGATTCATAATGAAACTCGCGAATGAAAGCATTTATTAAAGTCACCTACATTATTCATGAGACTTACTTTTAGACTGTAATACAGCAACATCACATTTATAATTCATTTTTGATAGATGTAATATGGGCTTATGTAATCAACTTTTCATAATTGCTTTTGCACCACAACATTGGGCATTGTTGTAGCGTTGTCTAACTGATAACTACACTGTATGTTTTTGTGATACTAATGTTATTTATGTAGGAAATGTGTGCTTAGACAATGTTCATTATGTGAAGCATATAATGCATGAAGCAATATGGCAATACATACACAATAATCCTTATATAGTTAATTCTAAGGTAAATATTTTCTCAGTGGTCCATTTTCAAAATAGATGTATAAATCGACTTATAAATAAAGACCATAGACTTCTATATATTACACTAGACTGCTAACTTCCTACTTTTTCTTATTACATTAAAAATGCTGCCTGCGCGAATTACATGCACACATTAATACCGTCACGTATAGAAAAGAGATGTCAACAGGGATTATGTCATGGTGGAAAGAATAAGTGCATCCAGAAGCACAACCGCTCACTGAGCAAAAGAAGAATTAATCTATGATTAATCTATTAATATGTTTATTTATTATAATTCGTAATGTAGAATAACTTGTCTATTACAGATAATCTTTAATAGACAGATTTATTTTATTACTATATTTCTCTGAATGTATCCATTAACCCCTTTCTTGCTCAGTGAGCGGTTTTTTCGCTGAAAACACTCAATATAAAGTGAAATATTGCGCATAATGGCGGTATCCTTAAAATTTCAACCAATCAAATTTGCCCGGTGAGGAAACGTCAATTTTAAATGTAGAGAATTGTGATAATTTTCAACAACACCATATGATTTCTATCATGCGCCGGCCATATTGAATATTCCATCACCGAGCATATTTTATTGGTTCACCGCTCCCCACTACTTTTAAACGACTGCACATCTGTCGAAATGTTTCACCTTATATTCTTTCCACCATGGATTATGTGACCAGCCTCTTCGTGATTGATTCAAGATGTTGTATACCTCTCTGTGATTGATTCAAGACGTCGTATATTTCTCTGTGATTGAATGCCTAGCCTTATTCTGCACATGCGTATATACTTCTTGGTAATTTTTGTTAGCACTTAAAGGGATAAAGTTAGCAATCTAATGTAATATTCCTAACCTAATATATAGAAATCTGAGGAAAAGTACTGTCCATATTTATTCTATATTACTATTTTCCGTATAAAATAAAAATATCTAATTTATGTAATAGTAGAGGAAAGGCCAAAACTCTATAGGCAGAATTTAAAAAAATAATAGGTCATTGTAAAGAGAATTTAATAAGCTTTAAGATAATGTTATGTAAAATTTAAATCAAATTCTATTTTTTTTTAATTAAAACTGTAAAAAGTGACCAAATCGTAAAGTCAAAAAATTGCGGTCCTAATATGAGGCGCCCCAAGAAATCGATAATAAAATGCAAAGTACATCAGTATTGCAATTAAAAAACTTTAGTAATTATGCAGAGGACCATCCTCCGATGACCTTGACATATGTTGTCAAGGTCAACACCCTGAGTGACTGTCAGGTTTTAGCCGTCGCTCCTTATTCATTAAAAAGTTATTAACAAAATAGTTTGAAAAATAACGTTTTATTTCTGCTATATATCACCCTCCTATTATAAAATTGAAATGTTAAATCGTCGAATTCGATAGTCGAATTCACTGTTGCCCTTTTTCCGCGATTCGGATTGGTTGTCTGGAGCTCGATCTTATCGCAAACTTTTTTGTTAATAACTTTTTAATGAATAAGGAGCGACGGCTAAAACCTGTTGACAGTCACTCAGGGTGATGACCTTGACAACATATGTCAAGGTCAAGATCATCGGAGAGTGGTTCATATCTCTGTATAATTAATAAGATTTTAGTTAATAAATGTATATATGAAACTATAAATGATACACTAAACATTTTCAATTCTCTGTATACAAGATTGCAATTTACTATGGAAGTATTAATGACAGATTGAGTTTTCTTGACACAGTTGTTATCATAGATAATCAGAGAATTATCTTCGACACGTATCATAAAGCGACATTCTCTGACAGGCTCCTTAATTTCCATTCTAATCACCTCCTCTGTCATAAAAGAGGCACAATTATTAGTTGTGTTGATAAAATAATCCGTTTGTCACATCCTTATTTCCAGCAAAAAAATTTGATAGAAGCTATTCATATCTTTCTTAAAAATAGTTATTCTCTCTCTTTCATTTTCTCTACAATAGAAAAAAGATAAAAATTTCACATTCACAACAAACATGTTACACATAATTTACAAATCAAAGAAAAATTGTTTTCTATCGCTTATGTAAAATCTATTTCCGACAATTTTTTTACCTATCTCTAGTATTTGTAAACTAGCTTTTTCTATTATTAACACGTTAAAAAATTTGATCAAGAAAGGAAAAGACGAACTAGATTTGCTTTCTAATCATAATGTGGTCTAATCATATAAGATCTCTTGTAATGACTGTGATGCCAGCTATGTTGGCCAAACGAAAAAAAAATCGAGTACGAGATTACGCGAACATATCTCTGATATCAATAAAAAGTCCGGTACTCCGAATGTCATAACCAACCATCGTATCAATTTTGACTACAATTTCAGATGGAATGATGGATCAGTTAAAATTTTGGATAGCGAATCTTCCTATAATAAAAGATTAATTTTCGAAATGATTCATATAAAGAGATAGAGACAAGGTTTAAATAAGCAAACCGATACTGAATCATTACCGGAATCTTATCTAAATGTCGTACAATCCCTCTCTCCTTCATAATTACCTTCCTAAAATTGAAGAAAATGCAAAAAACGATTTCGAGAAAAATGCGTTTAAAGTTTTCGATTTAGTTCTTGAATACTTACAGTGCTCGGAGGCTAATCTGTTATTCCAGGGACATAAATAATCTTTCAGTTTCCTCATAGAATTCATTTTGAGCAATTTGAGTCTTTCTAAAACCTATTCGGATTGCTAACAAGTGGAACCAACCCTCACCCTTTTTTTTTGCATAAACAAATGGCAGTTACCTAGTGAAAATCATAATTTTTTTTTAAAATCGCACAAAATTGTAATTTATATATTTATTATGTGTGTTGTATAATTTTTTTTCATTTTTTAGGTTCAGTTTACCTAGTTATCAGTAGGTTTAGTTCACTTAGGATGATATTCTATACAAATTAAAAATCTTTTTTGATTTTTTATTTCGGGCAAGAATTACAGCCGCTAGGATGTACACAAAATCGTTACGTCGTGGCGAACCGCCAAATTATGTTTATGTTTTTATTATTTAGAATACTTTTTTTTCACATAAAAATTTGTACGTACTCTACAATAATTATGTTAAAACATGCAAAAAGAAATTTGAAATCGATAAACATTAATCTTCCTTATGAAAAAAAATTACGAAGGATCACCTTGCTTTCGGCCTCCTAATTTAAGAGACTCCATTAACGCGACAAAAGTCGACTCAAATCGTCTCGTGTCGCGATTAGAGGGTCTCTACTGTAATTAAGAAAAAAAAAATTCATTATATCTCATATTTTTCTATAATATTAGTACGATTTTACTCTATCACTACATGAAGAACTTATTGCCAAATATTTACTTATTAAATAATAAACAAAATTTAAAGGCTCAATAATCTCAATAAAACTTGAAGACATCCAAATGCTAAAATCTTTTTTTACAATGACTACAGGCATGATCTAATAACGAATTTTCCACTAAATAGTTTTCAATCCAAGAGCAATAAATTCATGGTGGAATCAATAGCATTTATTAGTTTAACAGAAACACCGCTATCTCATATTAGGCGCCTCATAATAGGGGGCTTTCCTCTATATACATGATTGAAAATTTGTAACGTAAACTGTGTTATAATAAACAAACGTTAATTTTATTTCTTTCTACGGTATAGTTTGTTTAAAACATGTATGCTAAGAGTTTGCTGTTTTTTTTATTTATAACTGGCTATGTAATGTAAACTTCAATGGCAACAATCCTTGCAGTTGAATATATGAAATTTTTATTTTTCATTATACACTATTATTTATGTTACAGTGCACAGCAATCCTCGGAGAATGCTGTTAAGTCTGGACGGCACACGTTAGGCAATCAAGTAATTCGTAAAGGTTACATGTGTATACATAATCTTGGTATTATGAAGGGTGGCTCGAGAGATTACTGGTTTGTTTTAACATCAGAAAGTATCTCCTGGTTTAAGGATGAAGAAGTAAATATTGCTCATAATTATTAATCAATTATTTAAATTAATGTTAAGAATGATAAAAATTGTAACATTTTATATTAAAAAAGAACTATTATCATCCAAAAACAATGTCAAATCTAGTATATTTTTATGTACAAAGGAACGTGAAAAGAAATATATGTTGCCTTTGGATGGACTGAAATTGCGTGATTTAGAGCAAGGTTTCATGTCGCGTCGTCATCTGTTTGCGTTATTCAATCCAGAAGGAAGAAATGTTTATAAGGATTATAAACAACTGGAGTTGAGTTGTGAAACACAAGATGATGTTGATTCTTGGAAGGCATCATTCCTGAGGGCTGGTGTATATCCCGAAAAATCAACAGAGCAAGCAAATGGTGAAGAGGTGAGTTCATCATTGATCAAAACATGATTAAATAATTATCTATATGCTGTTGTAAAAAATAATTTATGTTTTATATTAATTTAGGTAATTATTTAGAATAGCTACCTCACCTCTGATTTTAATGAAATTAGGCTCATTCGACGGGTTTTCACTCAAAATGAAAGATACGTACTTTGGTCAGTATTTATTTAGAATCGCTACCTCACCTCCGATTCTATCTTGTAACTAATCAACAGGCTTGAAAAATTTATCGTATGACAAAAACGTACACAAATGAAATATTGCACCTAAAGGTGCAATTTCGCGCAGCGTCAAAACGCTACCGGCTCTCTCCACTCTGTATGAACAGGACTTTAGCAGCTGGCGTTTTTTAGCGACGGCTTCTTTAGAGGGGAAACGTACCACAAAGTCGGAGTAGCCGCTCAATTGTAGCTAGCATTTTGACGCTGCGTAAAATTGCGCCTTAATATCTCGGTTCGCGGAATCGACCGCCGTGTACTTCTTCCGAATTCTTTCGTTTTGAGTGAAAACGTGTCGAATGAGCCTAATTTCATTAAAATCGGAGGTGAGGTATGTATTCTAAATAATTAACTAATTTATTTATCAAACATTTGAATCAGTTTCACAACAATTTTTTTTATGTTATGAAAAAAAATTTTTTTTTCTATTCTGTTTTATGACAAGTTAATTTATTATATTTACTAGAATTTATTTCAATTTATTTTAGGATAAGCAGAGGGTAAGTTAACGAAAAATAGAGATTTTTGTTTTTGAATCTTTAACTGTGTAGTAGTTTGAATTACATTTGTTAAGTGCAACTAACAAAAAGAATTACTTTAGGAAAATAGGCTTTATTTGGCTTTTATAATCGCGATTAGGATAGAATTAAAATATAAAATTAATATTAAATTTTACAAAAATTGTGCATAATTTTGCTAAAATTATTTTTAACATTATTTTACACGTGGATACTATTTTGAATAAATACATTTTTTAATATCTTTATTATCTTCTGAATACTACTGACTGTATTTGAGATGTTTATATAGAATACGTTTTTATATACGTTTCTAAAATAAAACTGATAATACAATCTTTTGTATTGAGTGCATAATAGAAACCGTTCTCTTTTTTGTCTCATATTTAAATCAACTAAAAAGGAAGGATATGAGGTTGGTACAATCGTGTTTTCAATTACAAAGCGCACGACACTTACATACAAGCACCGGACATCTCTACAATCAAGCACACTTTATCGTAGAAGATTCTAACATTATAGAATGTTATTCTATATTTCGATTATATTCCTAGATTTACTCAATACTTGTTACATTAGTAATGTCTCGTAATGCTACGAATGTTATCTGATATATATGCCTTCTTAATATATGCCTTACAAGGAAGTTTCACAACTGTCCGGAATCGATTTGATTCTCCATGAAATATGTTATTAAACACAAAAATCTAAGAGACACGTATTTTTTTATACGTGTGCTAACTCATGTTTAAGGGATGAAACACCTCTTTGAAAAAAAAAAACGATATTTTTCTTTCGAAGTGAATATCGTCGGAAGTATAAAAGATAGAAAAAAATTTTTTAAACAAAAGTTGTACGGTTTCAAGAGTACTTCAACCCCTTAAACATGAGTTATGTTAGGACACGTATAAAAAAATATATATCTCTTAGATTTTCGCGTTTAACAACATATTTCATGGAGATTCAAATCGGTTCCGGACAGTTGTAAAACTTCCCTTGTTAGTAATTAAATCGTTTGAAAACGTTTTAAATCGTTTGAAAATATAAGCATAATATATATAAAATTTAAACGATATTATTTTTGTTCCTTTAGGGCGGTTCAGAGGGTCAATCATCAATGGATCCTCAACTGGAGCGTCAAGTGGAAACTATTAGAAACTTAGTAGATTCTTACATGAAGATTGTCACGAAAACTACTCGCGATCTGGTTCCAAAGACAATTATGCATCTTATTATTAATAACGCTAAGGACTTCATCAATGGGGAACTGTTGGCACATCTTTACGCAAGTGGCGATCAGGTAAAACATTATGTTAATATGATATGTATTGTGTTTATACGACAGTCTATTGCAAAATCCATTTTTTCTTAAAGATTTTATAGATTAATTTTTCCTACTGTTTCCTAGTCAACCAACGATGAAATAAATAATCTGACAATATTTAATAACCTTGTAAGTGCACCTTGCCTTTCCTTTCATCCTTCTTTTTTCGAGCATTTAGATCAAGAAAAATATGTTTATCATTTTTTAATTACAATAAATTTAATTTAACTTTTGACTATATTAAAATTTTGAATATGAAATTTTGAAAAGAAATGTAACTAACAAGGGAAGTTTTACAACTGTCCGAAACCGATTCTCCATGAAATATGTTGTTAAACACGAAAATCTAAGAGACGTATTTTTTTATACGTGCTCTAACTCATATTTAAAGGGTGAAACACCCCTTTGAAAAAAAAACAGTATTTCTATTTTGAGCCGAATACCGTCAGAAGTATAAAAGATGGAAAAAAATTTTTTAAACAAAAGTTGTACGGTTTCAAGAGTACTTCAATGTTGTGACGAAAAACAAATTTTTTTAATTTTTTTGTTTAACAATTGTTAACAAAAAAATTAAAATTCCGGACAGTTGTAAAACTTCCCTTGTAAGTAAGTTACGTTACAGTTACAACTGCAAAAAAAAGAACAAAGTTAAGTTAAAGTTACTGAAAAAAAGTAACTCTAACTTTTACTTACAAATAATTAGTTGTTTCTCAACTCTGGTTCTGGCATTTATGTGTCTGATTTTTTCTATCTATATTTTTATATTTTTATCTGAAAAAAATTTATAATGTATATATGCAATTATAGGCTTCAATGATGGAAGAATCTCCCGAAGAAGCGCAGAAACGAGAGGAAATGTTACGCATGTATCACGCATGCAAAGAAGCTCTTCGTATCATTGGAGATGTCTCTATGGCCACAGTTTCAACTCCAGTACCACCACCCGTGAAGAACGATTGGCTGATATCCAGCGAAAATCCAAGGTAACCCTTATGTTATTCCTAAAATAGTCTATCGCGCATTTTACTAATTTATCATCCTTACATTTTGTACCGTCTGCTTTGCCATACATTTGAACACCGTTGAAACAGTCTTGGGTAAGATTTCTTACATATGACATATTTATCTTTATTTTTTTTCCTAATGAACTATATTATCGAGAAGAAAAATGCGATCTTGTTGTACAAATGATCATGTTCATATTATGCATGCTTTTCTAATTAATAGATTTTTCTGAGTAGTGGTATTCTTATAAAAATATTAAGCTAGATTAGAATACCATTAGAATTTAATTATTTATCAACATCTTAATTTAATCAATCAATATTTCATATCTTCAATATCAACTATTTTATTGTTTATATCTTTGAATAATAATATTAAAAAATTATATAGACAATGTTATATATTCGAAGATTTTGTGCGTTAACTTCTTTGTATATTATTTGTATCTTTCTTTTTATTTTGGATGAACCTGTTTGACGCACTCAAATGATGTAGAGTTGATTATAAACCGATTGTAAACGTATTATACATTTTAGATTATCGCCACCATCTCCTGGTGGTCCAAGACGTGGAGTGACACAGCCACCACCTATTTCTAGCTCTCGAGCACCACCACCAGTACCTGGAAGCGGCCGACCAGCACCAGCCATTCCTAATAGACCTGGTCCCGGTGGACCACCACCAACGCGAGCTAATCCTGGCCTACCTCCACCTATGATACCATCGTGAGTACAATATAATTTTTGAGTATATAGAGCTTAAAAAACTCTAAGAAAATTCTAATTAATTGTATCAGAAAAAAACCTCTCAAATCGTATATCGCGATTTTATCATTCTATTGATCGCAATTCTTACTAAGCTAATCTGTGCATAACAAATTTTAAGCCGCACAATAACGCTCCTTGTTGATTGTGTGTTCGAAATATAATGATGCAATAACGATGTAAAAGCGGTATACAATCGTAAACATAAAATTTGCAGCTTTCTTCGAGAATCTCGAGTATATTAAACAGTAGCTTTTGTGCTGGGGCTTTTGGGTGCTAACTTCCCTTTCTATTGCAGGCGCCGACAATAAGTCTCCGCACTAACTCGCCTATTCGCTACTAATCAATACTGTATCCGTTGCATTATAGACAGTGTATATTTTACACAAAACAATATTTCTCTCTTTCCTAATGTTACCGTTATTGTCTACATATACTATGAGAAATTACATGATCAATGTTAATTAAGTAGGAGTGTGAAAATAACACGAAAATTATTCTAATTATATGTCTTGCACTTTTTTTGTGTTTCTGGAATCTAATTGAGCTTCCAAATGTCGAACAATTCTTCTAGTGTATTTCACCTATGTGTAACACAACAACGACATATTTTTAAGTGATTAAGATTTGAGAAAGGACAAGAGTAATTGTATTATTCCTCTATGATATTATTTCTATTTACTTAATATTTATATTGCGTGAATGTTTATAATAATTTTTAACTTAATACATATATATTTTTTCTATATATGTATAGTATTGTTTCTGGCACGGAGATTAATACAGCCCTAATTGTAGTTGTAGGTTTAATGCCACTAGTAGTAAAATCTATAATATTAAATATTTTCGAAGATACGATATCTTCTTGTTCTTAGAAAATAAAGATATATATGCATAGTCGAGTCATACACGTTCAATTGTAAATTATCTTTATGAAGCTGTATATCATATATGTATATACCGTTGAAAATATTGTCAAATAAAGGACTTTACGTTCTTATAGCAGATAGATAATTTATTTACTTACTAACAGCATGACATTTTGGCAAAATGCGACTAAATTTGAAAAATGACTTCGAAATCTATTAGTTATCTACCAATCGTATTTATCATCGATACATTTGTGTAAAATCTAAGATATACATATACATACGCCTTTTAATGTAATTTCAAAACTTTTTAAATGCATAAGCACTTCTACCTTATATGTCTTTTGTTATCCAAAATATTTTATATGAAGACTAATGAAACTTGTCAATTACTAATTGTGGACAAATATGTCGGTGCCTGCATTACGATCCAAAGTAACAAAATAGCATATATTATAATTGTTATGTATTTATAAATGGAAGCGAAGACGAATTTAGTCTAACAGCTTAAAAATTGTCTTTGAATATTGAACAAACATCGCGTATCGTTATTATAAACTATTTTTATAACTACTGTTATAAATAGAGCCCGGATTAAAATTCTGAGATTGTATCTAGCTACAGCTCTCTTCTCACTGCACCTCATCTCCACCGCTGTGGCACCGTCGCGCTATCACTTCCCACATCGCGCGCCACGGCTTCAGGTGAATGGTAATGGGGAGAATGGTAATGGGAGAAAGAAATGAGGAACGCTCTACGGTCAACTCGATACATCGGTTGGTGGCTAATCCGGGCTCTAGTTATAAAGCTACATTTATACGGTAGTTATAAAACTACCGTTAATATTACTTTATTTCGGCTACACATTTAAAAAGTCATTATGCACGCTTTCATACACAAGACACGCATCATAAGTTAACATTTGGAAACGTTAAATGTATGATGTATGTTCCTGAAACAAATTGCAAGAGTGAGATCAGTAGTCAAAGTTGGGTATCCGTGATGTGTTTAGTCGAGGGGGTGGTCTACAGCAGAGGATAACGCAAGCTGCGACACAGGCTGCGACACAGGCTGCTGTGAACGAGCTGATGGATGCGTTCAAGATCAAGTAAATAGATGTTCCCAGTTTTTCGATTTATACCCTTAATAACATAATGTATATGGGTATCCGTTTAAGTTGCGCAGAAAGTAGATTGGTAGACTGTTCAGGGTTGAGAATGAATTAATAATCCTTTTGAATAGATCTTTATATAACAAAATTCCGCAAAATAATAATTAATTTATTCCTGTCTCATTTTCTCTGTGTCTTACTCTTTTGCATGGTGTTCTATGAATTTAATTAAATGCTTTAATTTAAGTTATGCTTTTGGAATCAAATCTGTACATACATATACATGTGTGTACGTAACATATTTGTATTGTATTATATTTTTATATCGAAAACAATTATAAAAATATATCTGTTATAAGTATAATGAATATAAATATTAATATGAATATATGTATGTATATATATACACATATTATTATATAATATTTATATGTATAAATATTATATCTATCTTATGCAGTATTACCTTCAATATCTTAGAAGATTTGATTATAGTATTTTCCAAAATCATTAGTTCTAAATCAAGCAATAAAATTTTAAGCTTTAACATTTTAAGGGGATGCTGGAGTGGCCCGCAAATTGTCGGGACTTTGCAGATTGGTATAAATCTCCAAATTTACTGAACGGAATAAAAAATCCTTTTACAGGATTAAAGTAGACGCAAAATTTCGTGGTGCTGTAATAGACTTTATACTAAAATCGAAAAAAGGTTAAAAACTTACGTTTTTTCAATTTTTAGAGCTGTCACCAGATATTTTCTTAATACAAAAGTTTTAGCTCGTATAGACCAAACGACAGTGCAGCACCAAGCGTATTACGTGCACAAACAATACTGAGTTTTGAAACTAAGATTAAAAGCTTAAAAAGAAAGATTTATATCGATCTGCAAATGATGTGTATACAACGCTGAGTGAAGACTCGGAATGGTAAACAAAGCAACAATTGTGTCTAGCAGGAGGTGTTCGATCTTCCAAGAGATGACGTTGCAATATGTTAGATAAGGACAGATGAATGTGTTGAGTGAGACCCAACGATATACAATAAATATAAGAAATGAATGAAAGATGTCACTATTATCGGAATTTGGAATTAGAAAAAGTCTGTACTATCGATCTCGGTTAAGTTCTGCCGTCGCTCCAGCGAATCCCCTTAAACTTCAGAACTGGAATCAAAGTATGACAGTCAGGAAAAATGTTATGAAATAAACACATATACAGGGTGTTCCATTTTAAATAATGCATTAAGATTTGTCAAAAACTGAAGGTGACCTTCACGTGACTTTGAACCGACTATCCAAGATCAAATCAATGGTACCTTCTTATGTCCCCCTCCGAACTATACAACTTTTTTTGAAACATTTTTCCGTATCTATCATAGTTTTCGAGAAATCTTAATTACTTAAAATGGGACACCCTGTATATGCATATATGTAAAAAAAAAGAACATAGTAGATTTTAGCATAGACATTAGTACAGTTAATCCGATTTCATTATTATTTTCACGCTGTATGAAAGTGTGAAAACTAATACATAATCTTGTTAGCGAAATATTATGGATTTCTTTCTAAAATAATGTTTGTATCCAGTAAATCTATCCTGGAAAGTCTACCAGAACCTGATAATATGATTGACAGCTTAATTTTGCGCATTGATTATATAAAATATCCATCGTTAAAGAGCGAGTTTGATATAAATATTGTGGCATTGTCATGTCAACTGCATCCGACATGTATTCGTAGTAGTGAAGAAAATATCGACCATGCCATTGACAGTGATAAGATAGATGAGAAAATGTCATGCTGTTGGGAAAGTATGTAACTAAAACTCACGAATGTATATCCAACTTGTTCTGAATAAGAAACATTCTTTAATGACAAAAGCATTATACTACACAAAATCATCATAAAATTTCTCTATTTCTCTCTACTTCCTATAACGTTTGTTACTTTTTTCTCTTATAATTATTTTAAAAGATATATATATGCCATATATGTATACTGTATAAGAAAATGAAAGATTCTTCATAATATTTACGAGATATAAACAAGAAAAAAATGTGCTCAGACATAGGATGTGATATAGCGTAGAATGCTTCAAGGATTTTGTATGAAAATCCGGACTCATGTGAAATCCCCTTTCTCTTCTCTTTCTCTTTCTACCCCTTCTTTCCTATTCTATCATCCCTTCTTTCCTATTCCTTTTCTTCTATTTATCCTCTTCTCTCCCCATCCCTCTCTCTTTCTCTCTCTGAATAGTCTAAATTCACAATATATAGGCACGATGTGCCTACTGAGTATAATGGTGATCAATACCACATACAATGTATGAGTGTACATCACATTCGGCAAGCACATCCAGGAACGACGTTGTATTTTGTATTATTTATAGTTATTCTCTCGAAGAGAGCTTCCTGATTATGCTTGCGGTTCAATATATGTATATACGATGACTTGTGATTAGATACTCTTGCCTATTTGCAGAGCAACGACGTGCTTCAAGATTGTATAGTACACGTTTTTGCATGAAATATTTATGACATTTGGAAAAAATAGTGTATTGAATGGCACAAGCTTATTTTATTATATATGTATATAAAATTCGTAATACTTTTTGTAAAGCTTGTGTGCTAGACTATACACTAGGCGACTTTCATTTCGAATACGTTTACGCAGTGACCCGGGAGAAACTCGAAAGGAGGTAATCGAAGTGCAATTAAAAAAGAATATTTTTCGTTACAGTAGGACGTTGAATGTCTTCTTAAATAATGAATTTAGAAAAACACCGACAGCAGAAGACTCGTATCTTCCATGTCATTGCGTATTCTCCGATTGTCATAGTGACATTATGAGTTCATTAACGAACAAGAAAAAATCTATAAACTTCGCATACAGTCACATTAACATATAGGACATTCTTCATTGAAATTATTAATATTAATAAAGCTTAATAATATTTTTTAGTACATACATACATAACCATTTACTTCTAACTTATTTTATCTGATGGTAGCATAATTTTTTAACCATGCGCATTTTTTACTTCATGTTTCAATTAATTAATTACTTTGCTGTTAATTCGTTCTCGAATTTATTAAAATTCGTCGCTTTTTTTGAAGCACGTCGGACTAATTACACATGGTTTTGCGTATCATTAGGCAAAAATATATTATAGTCGTAGTTTAAATACAATAATAAAGTTCCGGAATACTAAAATTGATGTCATATGTTGCATTTGGCGTAGAGTGCATAAGAAACCTCAACACGAAAGAGATTCCGCAGCCACAAAGTACACTATTGAAACGTTATTGTACAGTATAACACTTGCATACAGATGTGCGTGTGTATGTACACACGCGCGCACGCACACACCCACATCCACACCCACATTTATCCTTTTGAAGCAATGTTAGAATTGAATAAGCGTCGATATAACAAGAGTAATGCAGTTAAATTAAATTATTAAAATCACCGTGCTTTATTATATATATTACAAAAATATATCCGTAGATTTATTTAGCAACGTATTTCATACTCGATAGACTCGTGAGAATTTTTCATTCTTATGAAATGATCATTTTTGCACTAGTGAGTTATTAATGCATAACAATGAGTGTTTTAAGGTGTTGCGCAGCTTTTTAATCGAGCATATTATGCGCTGTGTGCGCATCACTTACCGCACCGAATATTGTTAATTGAACATTTAAATGAAAAGTTGAATAAAATATTTAGAGCTCTGTCGATTTAGTTGCGTATGAATATTCCATCTCTTCTGATAGTGTACTATTTATATTTATTTTTAAAAGAAGAAAAAAGGTGGACTGAAAAATTAGATCAGATCATAAAAGTTATTGAAATCTATGTGATGTATTAGGGTAGAATAAATATGTGTAAGTATTCTATGTTTTATGGAATAGACGATCAGAGCGAAAAAAATCTCTTGTTTCATATTTCTGTGAAATTGCATTATTGCACTTGTAGTAATTCTATCGTAATATTATAAAAGTTAAATCATTAAGTTTATGCATACTTAAGGAGATCCTAAAGACAATTAGTCATATTGTAAATAGCACTTACACACAGATGATTTACGTGTCACTAACACATCACTACATCAATATCTCACTCACGCATGTCACACATACACATAAATTTTCGTATAACAATTACGTTTTAATTAGACGTCTAAATCTAATGTTAAGAATTCCACACTGTTTCTTCATGCAAACTACTAGTCTGTGAACTACTATTTCGTAAGTATAGATTACACAGCTTTTATATGAAGCAAATGTTGTCACGTGACAGCTCTGGATGCATGGTTTCAAGAGTACTTTATAATAAAAAAAGAAAAAAATAAAAAATTTTTTATTTAATTATAAAAAAAATTAAATTTTTTTTTTATTATAAAGTACTCTTGAAACCATGCATCCAGAGCTGTAGATCGGAGAGAGATCCCTTTCCTTGTAAGAAATGGTAAAAGATCTCAATTTCGAAATTTTTTGTTGTTCTCACCATAGACTCCATTTTACAGACACGTATTAATGCGTATACTTTAATCCTGGAAAAGGATTTTCAAATCAGTAAAAGAGGAAAAAAGTAATTGTTATACAAAAATTATATGGTTTAGTCGGTAATACAGACGACTTTAGGATCTCCTTAAGTGCATTTGAGGATTATTTGATGGAATATCAACCTCTTAAGTTTTACAATGAAGGACAGGATTGGCAAAAATCCAGTTTTTTCCAGAAAAACCCAAATTTTGGGGATTTTTGTGGGTTTTTGTTCTAGGACTCTAGTACAGCCATCCTATTATTTTGAAAGCGTAGTATCTGTTCGACAAAAACATAATCTCAAAAAGTCGTCCAACAGATACTACTAGGATTTAGGACCAGCATTTTATTAATATCATTTATGTTAAGCAATCATTGCAATAGGTTTCCGATTAATTTATAGATAAAAAAAACTAGTTTAATTCTTAATATATGTTGTAATAAATTAGTTT